GTAGCAAATTTTCAGATGAGGCAATTCTTTTTAATTTTCATGCACCTGGTTAGGCATAGAGGGATGGAGTTAAGCAAGGGCAGTCTTGGGGGTTCTCCACACAGGCTAGAGAGGGGACAAGGTGCTGTCTGCAAGAAGCTGGTGCAGCCTTGTACTTCCCCAAGACCATTCCTACAGACACAGCTTTGTCCACTTCCCTTGGCCTTTGAGGAGAGACGTGTTGGGCCTCCATGACACCAGTGAGTGGTCCAGGAAGTCCAAAGGTAATATTTGCAGGAATAGTCCACCATCTGTGTAGTGCCTGCAAAAGCTTTCAAAAGGAGGAGGGACTCCGTTTTGCTGGGATAGCCAGTCAAAACCTCTTGACTAGGGTCAAATGTGCAGGAAGAAGGATGCCATGATCAAAGACCATCTCATGGCTCTCAACCTTAGTGAGCCTTAACTTTCAGGTATGTCCCCCAGGCCATATGCTTGGCCACTGGAGAAGAGCTGCCCAGAAGCCCTTACCACAGGCAGCAGATTCTGTCTGCAGAAGGGGTGCTTTCCATTGTTCTTCCTGTCCAGGCTGGGAGACTCATGTGCCATGCACACTGGAAATTTCTTTCCTAGAAGTCACATCTGGATCCATAGTAGTAAATAACAAATCATCTTCACCATCCTAGAAGTATGAGACAGCTAAAAAAAAAGGAACCATGAGCATTGCATGCTTTCAAAGGTCTCCTGGACACTGTTGCTGCCAGCAGCCTTGCTTATGAGGAATCGGGACCCAGGGATGCCAGAGTGGCACATGTGTCTTGACAGCTTGTATGCTAGCTTGGGAGGTGACAGAAGGTGCTCATGTTCATGAGGGCTTCTTTTCTGTCACTTTTCCCAGTGCTGATTCACTAGTAACTAAAGATGAAAAGCCTGAGCTGTCCTAGACACAGAGAAGACAGTTATCTACTGCCTTCTGTCTAGAAAGCCTTTCTCTCCACCCACGCTAGGCTGATGGCAGAGATCTGAAGATAGGCTATATGGTAGCTGTCATGGCATCAAAGCTTCTCTGACACTTTTCTGTTTTGCTTTTTCACTTCTCACCAATTTCTTTCTCTGGGTTTTTATTTCCTTCCACCAGTTTTCACGTAATTTTCAGTCTTTCCTTAATGGCATGCAGCTTCAGTCACACTGAAGTTCCAGCCTTGGCTGACTTTTTGCGGATGTGCGCCTGAGACAGTTTTAGCTCCTTTCAGACAAAGTGCCCCTTTTTGAGGTGGGTAGGACATTTGCTTCATTCAGCAGCACCCCTGAGGCCCTTCAGTGTGCTCACAACATACATGAAATCTCAGATCCCAGACAAATGTTGCAAGCTAAACTGGATACCCTTGAAGACTCTGTGAATAAGTTCATGACTCTATCAGTGGTGATGAATAAACTTCAAAAAGGATTGGGAAGACACCTTCTATTTTGCATGCCTTGTTCAAACCCCAGTGCAATCTCTTAAAGGTTTCTCCAAAGTCTTGCCTAGGGCTTCCCTAGGGCTGTCCTTGTGAGTCTGCATCACCCAGCTGCCTCAGGTTTGTGCTTTTGACTGCCAACAGGGCATCTTCTTCACTCCACTTCCCAGCACCAGCTTCCTCTGCTTCATCACGGGGAAGCTCAATAGGCCTCAAGTCTGATGGTAACCCCTTGGGCTGGGCTTTCCTTGGGAGCTGACTGGGCTCCCTGGTATTGAAATGACGTTACTGGTATGTCTCCCTTTCCTGTGCTCCAAGATGAACGTCCAAGAATGAGAAAAGAAGGTGAATTTTTCAAAGGGAAAAATGACCAGGGAGTCAAATTTCCAGTTTCAAAAGTGACTTGGATACTGAAAAACTTCAGTGTATGACTAGGGAGTTCAGTGAAGCCTTATGCAGAGCCATGCCCTTAAGTTCTCCCCGAGCAGTTTGGGGTGCACGAATAGCCCAGCACCCTCCCACATGGAGGAGTTAGCACAGCTCCCAAAAACCAGATGCTGTGTAGCACAGAAAACAGGTTTGGTCATGGGCAGTGAGGGTGCACCAGCTTTTTTGCTCAGTGCAGACCTACCAAAACTGCAGTGAAAACCAGCAAGAAATCAAGTGCCAAAGCCATGTCAGTCATGCAGGGCCTTCCAAAGCTTTCTTCTGTGAGAGGGACAGCAGGTGAAATGTCCCCTGGACATGGGGCACCCTGCCTTGGAGAACTGGGAAATGCATTCTTTAGGGGAAAGATGGACAGGTTTGGAGCTGTGGAGGTGTTGAGGTGGAGAAGGACAGTAGATGGGATGGAGAGATTATGCAGCCTTTTATTGGCTATATCTTGTCCTTGGATCATGCTGGATTCAGAGGTGTATCTGCAGATCTGTTGTAGGCATCCAGCGTCCATCATTGAGGCTCAGGCTACCTCTGGGGTTCCAGCAGGTTGTGCCACAGGCGGATGACCTTCTTTAGGAGCCTGTGGCAGTGGTATATCAGTGTGTCAGCAAATGCCTCAGCCTTCCCCCGGGAGTGTTGATGCAGGTCTCCATGCCAGGTCTATGCACTGGGGAAATGGCACCAGCCACGTCCATCACCACAGCTAGGAGATCTTTACACCTTGTCCTGCCTTGTGCCCAGCCACCTGCTGCCTCCTCAAGTCCTTCCCCAGACCTCAGCTGAATCTCACCTCTCCCATTTGGAGAGGAGCCCTCCAGCTCAGAGAAGCCTGTATCCTTGCAGGCTTGACAGATGGGCTGGTGTACCCTTGGTCTGTACAGCTGGTGCGGCTGCTGAGAGCCCCTCGTGCTCCCTCACATGTCGTGATTCCCACCTGCTGGCCCAGATCAGCATATGTCCATGATGAGGGAGAACTGTTAAAAACCAAGGTTTTCTGGTCACATGAATCTCTCTAATTTCTCTAATTTCTACCTCCTCCTCCCAAGGGAACTAAATAGTTGCTAAAAAACACTGTCTGTGTACCCTTAAGCAAGTAGAGAGAAGCAGCAATTCATCTCTCTTCTTGACTTTTTTTATTGCCATTGGAATTGCAAATCTGTAACGTGCCATCTAAACATAAATCTGTCAAGAACAACAAATGCTGCCATAGCCCTTGAGTAACAGTACAGAACTAATCTGCCAACAAGCTTTGGAACTACAAAGCTTTGGTCAGATTAAACATCAAAGCTGTCCCTTCCTAATCCCCTTCGCTGTGTCTGCAGACTGGGAGCAGGCGTTAGCACACCTTTGGGAGGCACGAAAGGGTCAGATCTACACGGCCCACGCGGGGCTGGCAGTGAGCACGTGGGACCTGGACCTGGGACTGGACCTGGACCTGGACCCCCGCTCCACCCCACCATATGCGCAGGTTGGGACCAGCTGTCTGACACTGTGCTGGGGCTGCTCCGGCTGCTTGCTGTCCTTCGCAGTGGACCGGCAGGGAGCTAAGCCATTGACCTCAGGCTCGGGCCTCTGGTCCACGTCCTTTTTGCTGAGGTGTCTTTCACTCCCTTTGTTGACCAGCTGGGGCCTGCAAACACTGAGGGACAGTACGATCTTGTAGGTGGCAGCTGAGAGCAAGGAAGGTCTGACGTGTGCAAGGCACAGAGGCTGCAGCCCCGCTTACCCCAAGAAGTTGGAAAACAGATGTTAAGATGCTAGCTATAATGATAAAACCCTCTTAAGCTCAGAGGAGGGAGAAGTTGTTTGGGGAGGGAGTTGTGGGATGGGCAGGTAAGAGCTGGGACTTCAAGAAAGCTAGGGATAACTTTGAGGGACTATCCAAGGAGGCCAGAAGAAGAGATGTGAAGTGAGGGAGATAAGTGCTTGGGGGAGAAGCATTTGACCACCCACAGCTGAGGTCCCATCGCTTCCCAGGTTCACCCGCAGCTGCAGCGGGTCACAGCACAGAGTGTGTGTTGTTTCAGCAGCTCCCGCTGCACCCCTGCCCACGTCCCTGTGCTCCCCAAACCTGGCTCAGCCTGGGAGCTGCTCTGGGGAGCCTACTTATGAGCTGGTGCACGTGCCTGGTGGCCCTTGTCCACCATCGCTGCCACTGCAGCATCATGCTGACGTGTAACTGGTGCCCCATGAGCTGGCACATCCCGGCCCGTCACGTAACATTGGTCGGGATAGCCTGAGAGAGCCTGGCAGTTGGGCAGCATGTGAGACCTGTTTAGTTCAGCTTTCTTCTCTGTCCCTTTCTCTCTGTTAACACAGAGACTCTGCACATGCTTTCTCTCTAACTGCAACGTAACCCTTTTCCCTGGAACATCCTGTGGGTGCTTCTGGGGTAATAATGGGAAGATGCTTGCCGTACACAACGCTGTCGCCTGAGCAGCTGCTCAACGCTCTGTGGTGCCTCTTGCCAGTCTTGTCTAGATAGCAGCTCCAAGGAGAGTCTCTGAAAGTAGCATCCAGCCCATCTCGATCTTCCTGCCAGCTGGTGCTTCTAGCAGGTGAGAAGGAAGGAGGCAGGCAGAGGAGGAAAGGAGGGGTTTGGCTGGCTGCTTGAAGACCCAGGCCAAAACCAGAGCTGGAATGCTGATGTTGCAGGTGCCTGGTTAAAGCAAAGCAAAGAGTAAATACACATGTAAAGCCTTTATTTTTTCCATTCATCACAATGCACTTTTTATTTCTGACCTTAGCCTCAAGATTGGTGCCAGACATGTTCTGTGATTTCTCCCCTTTTCCCCTCCAGATGTCCAAACGGATTCTTCGGACAGAGATGTTTGGAGAAACTGCCTTTGCGATTGTACATGCCAGATCCTAAGCAAAGTATGTTTGAAGACAAAAAACGCACCACACTACTTAAAACCTCCTGGGCACAGCGGTGGATGTAGAGTGGTCTAGTCAGGGATGGCTCTTGGTGTCAGCTTTGGGCTAGGGCTTAGGGATGCAGGTAAGGGTGAAGGCTGAAAGCAGACAGATAGGAGTCGTGGAAGGGATCAGAAGGGGCCTCAGTTTGGTCTGTTTGGGTGTCATTTTGCTATCTTGTTTCTCTCTTTCTGGTTTTCTTTCTTCCGGTAGGTGTCCGATCGAATTCACAGGAGACCGGTGTCAGCATTTCGCAATGGTCAGCTTCTCCAGTATGTCTCTTTCTACTTCTCTCTCTCCCTGGTTATTGTAGCTCTGTGTCGTGTCCTTAAAGCAGGTTCTTCTGTTCTCCAAGAGCCCTCTTCCTGTCTTGTGCGGTCCCAGCTCTGCTTGGCCGAAAGAGGAGCTGTGATCGTGTCCAAGAGGAGAATCGGGGCTCTTGTTATCTCCCCATTTGTTACAATGGGTTCTGCTTTCATTTCTGATTGAACTTAATGTTGCTTGTTCTTTTCATGCAAAATGCAAATAAGGCACAAGGTTATGTGGTGTGCTGTGTGAGAACAGTCTGTGTGATAAGCTGTATCTGCTAGCATTACTGTCTCAAGATGGACTATGTTGTGCAGTGCAAGAGATGTACGTTTTCCCATGACTCTTGCGAGGGGTGTGTGAGTCTCTCTGTACCATCTGAGGAAATCACAGCGAGGGCTGTAATGACATTTCCCTGAGGTGAGGTTGCGTTTCTGTTTCCAGAAGTTAAACCAAGCACCAGTTGCTGTTCAGGTGAGATGGTTGGGGGCTGGCTCGGAGTCAGATCCTGGAGCACGCCCAGAGTGCTGTACGGGGCACACGTGGACACCTGGAGCCCCGGAGGTCACGCTGGTGGCTGCCACTGTCTCAGGGCTTCCCACGCCTCAGTGCCACGCAGGATACAGGCTAAATCTGCTGACTGGGCATCTCGGACTATACCCCTCCCAGATGCAGAGATGTTCCTGTCTCTCCTAGGGCGGTTGGACAGCCTTGCATATGGGGTTGTGTCTAACTACAGTGGCCGATCCTTTTAACCTAGTGTTCAGTGGGTGTAAATACCCCAGAGCCCTTGCACTTGGTGCTTCCCGGTGTCTAGCTTCCAGTTCCTACAGGCGCTAGGTCTCCAGAGATGCCTCACTCTGGACCTCATTAGCTCGTTTTGTTCAAGGCAGATAATTTTTCCGTGTCCATACTCAATGTCCCAGCATCAGTGGGATCCTGGTCTGGGTAAGGACTGACCTGGAAGGAGGCGCAGTTAACAGCGCAGGACATCGGCCACGGTGACCCTCTGACCATCCTGCCTCCATGCTGGCCGTTTGGACCACCACAAATGGTAGTTTTAATTTAAAAAGAGGCTCTTTAAAAAGACCCACAGGAGAGGCTTTAATTAGTGGGAACCAGAGGAGAAATGCCTCTCCATGATGACTCTGATTGCCAGTACCCCCTCTCCCGCCACTCTGTAAGAAATCCTGCAGTCCTCATCCCAAACTGGCAATAGCAGGAGTCTCCTTAGCACGTGCTAATAGCTGGCAAGTGCTCGCGTTAGACTCCCTTCTACAGAGTATACAGACAAGATGCAAATGGGCTTTGTGAGGCCCCTGGGACAGCTTGATGTTTTTACATTGCCTTTTGTTCCAAATTGGCTTCCAAAGTTGAAACCTCCATTGATTTATTCTTTCAGACTAACACATCCAAGTAAGCTCTTTTTAAAATGACAAAACAAAATGTTCTGTTTTGATCTTTAACGTGATGCAAAAGGCTTTCCTTTCCACTTTTAAGCCCATGGTGTCAGGGACCCCGGCTGCAGACAGCAGTGGGATGCTCGCCTGATGAAGCTGATTTGTAGCATGTTTCACGAGGTGGTGTCCAACAGGCTTAAACATTATTGCTACCATGCTGCAAAACCAAAACAGGGGTAAAAATTAGTTTTATGTCAGGAAAATGCCTTTTCAGAACATTAATGGCAAGAGTAAACAGCACCTGGTTTTTTACCCAGCCTGCAGAATCCAGCTTTTTATGAGAATGAGATTTGTTTAAATTTTATTCATGTCTTAGAACAATGCCAACTTTAAAACCGACACATGTACATTTCCTTACCTCAATTCTGCTTTAACCACGTGATAGTAAGGTTAACAATCCAGGTTACCTGTCTGAACTTGGATAAAAATCATCTAAGATGATGATTCATATGTGTTTATAGCTGTTTTCACTTTCAGGTCACAGTTGGGTAATATACAAAGCAGCAACACTGCAGAAAAGCATGCACTCAACTTGCTGTTCTTATGTATAGGAAAGGCATTTCACTTGAGCCTGGACTGTGCAAATGCTTACTTTCTACTTTAATCAATAATTAGGGCACCGTAGAAGTTGCTGTTGCTCTTTAATTCACTCAGTGCTTCATCCCATATGGGTTCTGACAGGTCAAAAGCTGAAACAGATTAAATGAGATTCAGGCATTTCCACTGGAAATAAAATAGCTCTGTCCTGATTCACGTTTTGATAACATTGCCAGCACCTGACAGATACTTAAATAGTAAATAATGACACCTACACTGATGTTGTTTTAATTGCATTTGAGGTATTTCAGGTTTTCAGGCCTAGATAGAAGCCTTCTGATTCTTTAACATAAATATTAAATATTACAATATGACTTTTCGTAGGTATATCCCAGGGCTGAGCAAAAGTCTCTGTAGAGTGAACTGCATTTAAGATGCTGTTCTGAAAAGATATGGCAGATACTTTGCTGAATTTGGGCCAGAGATGGAGGTAGTGCAGCATCCCAGCATCATGCTAGATGTTGTGTTTCTTCCTTCTGGGAGCAGCTTCCTATCTCACTGGTTTAAACCCTTATTCAGATTTTGCTTAGGTAAAACTGCCCATGTTCTCTAGGAGTTCAGTCTATCTTTGTCTATTTGACAGGTAGCTCTGGAGGTTTGTTTTAATCTGATTGTCCGAAATACCTGCTAGAGCACTGCAATTATGCAGATGAAAATCAGATGTATTTAGGTAGGTTTTCTTGCATGTGATATTTCTCTATGTTGCTGTTACAACCATATGACCAAGTGCCTACTGCCAGACATTCTGGGTATATACCCTACTGCTTGAAAATGAAGAGGAAATGTTAAAGATGGAGGTTTTTTCTATGTCGTATATGCTAATTTCTAACAGATTGGTACAGAGGAACTCACTAGGAATTATATTATTGGGCTAGCTCGGAGACCTCCCAGTCTGTCCCGGCTCAGCCCTTATTTGGATGAATAGCATTTGCTTTTGGTAGGAATTTGCAATAGCAGAATTGAAGCAAGTATCTCAGCGTTGGTTCCCATCTGCTTATAAGGAGTTTACATTTTATTTTGCTTGCATTGTAATGCAAATGTAATGGGAAATGTGTTGAGATACTGGAGAAAAAAAGCAAAGCACGCTAAAACAGCTACGTATCTGAGAAAATGGATGCATAGTGCAAACAGACAGCATTGCTCTGGCCTAGCAAGATGCCACTTCTGAGCAGAACTGTGGTACCTGACTGTGTCAGCTCTCCAAGCCTGCCTTTACGCTAAGCCTGCATTAGTCTAAGCCACCCCGATGGTCTGTTTTCTAGCAAGGCTCATACCGTAAGGAGATCTAAGGAAACGTGTTTATTTTGGGCAGCAGTGGCTAGGTATGTGTAGACAGTTGGCTACCATCAGTCAGCAGACGGACAATAACCTGCTGAGCGGCAGCAACACAGATGAGGGCCTTTGAGACATTGACACGTAGTAATCCCACATCCAGTAAGTATGGGCAAAGTCTCACAGGGAAACTTAAAAGCTTTATCCTGTTTATCATAGGTCAGTTTTAGGACAGTATGACAGATGGCTTTCCCACATTCATCAAATAGAAAATCTACTAGAAGGAAGGAAGGAGAGATGTCAGAGCAAACAACTGCACATTCACTGCGATTAAAATAGTTGAAAGGTACACATCTGAGAATAAAAAGATGCCCTGACTTGAGATGTGCTGACTTAAGCCTGGTTAGACCCCTTTTGTCTGTATGAAATTTTACTGATCTCAGTTGATCTCTGTGCATGCTCCTCCATCCACGCATAAGGAATTGGCTGATGAATCAAGGTTAGAAGATCATGTTGTCTAGGCTTTAACTAACCTGTAAGAGGAAAGCCTTAAAGACACTGTACAATATAACTGAAGGACATTAAAGAAACACTTAAAGCAGTTTTGATTTAGACTGAAGGAGAATTAATGGCAGTGAACAGAGGGTACGGTGATTGCCTGCAGTTACTATATAAAACAGAGGAATGCCTTGGTAGATGAGAATACAGAGAATTATTTCCATGGGTGATGAGTCATTAAATAATCTTTCTAAAATGTTTTTCACATCAAGGTCTTCATATTTCTATGTCTCCATAGGATTATAGTTGCAGATATAATTAATATATATACTGCATTGTACATGTGATGGTAAAGTCATATTGTTTGCTAGTTTCAGGAGTTAGATCTTGCAGTTATGATGTAACTCTGATGAAACCAGAGGGATGGGAGATCCTAACTCCAAAATGTGACCTAAAGCAGGAATCCTCCCTGACCCTGGCCACGGGGAATGCAATGTGCAGGCAAGGAGTAACTAGCTGTACTGGCAGTCTCAGTTCACGTCATGAACTCGTCTTCTGACCCCGGTTCTCCCTGCCTCCCTCTTTGCAGCAACAGTGCAGCCAGATGCTCATTATATTTTCAGTGGGCTTTTAGACATCTGTATTAGAGGTTTGAGTCCAAATTCATCCCCCAGGCTCCCTTCATAGTCACTGCAGAGGGTTCGGCACCCGAGGATGAGCATTTGGCTAATTGAACTCCATTGCTGCCATCAGGATGAGATGTCTCATCCTCCAGAGGTGCTGAGGGTGATGAGTACACACTCATAGCTGTCAGATGTCTCTCCCGGAGCCCTGGTACAGGTACCAGCAGAGTCACAGATCACAGGTGTCTCTGTCTGGCTTCCATGCACTAGTGAGAACAGAAGTTTAACACATCAAACTGTTGATCCACAGCCTGAATGAATCCATAGCATTAGTACCCAGGGACCATTTTGCCTTTGCAGTCAGATCTTCATCTCTGCTGGCACACGTGGGTGAAAAGTTCAGCATCTTGCTGAACACAAAAGACTCAGGAAGTCTTTCTAATGTGAGAGGTTCTAGTGGGTACTGGAGACTGACCCAATTGATAGCTGTCTACTGCGTCCAGCTTCATAGGCACA